TTTCTGCTCCCGTAAAGATTTGCAGCCTTGGAAACCCTTTGCAGGGTCACTATGAGTCGGAACCGACTCCACGGTACTTAACAACAACAACTCTTTCTATTGGAGTCCTGGTGTGGCACTGTGGGTTAATGTGCCAGACTGCAAAGCAGTTTGAACTGCAAAGTCGGTGGTTCAAGCTCACCAGTCACTCCTTGGAAACCCTATACAGGGTGGCTATGGATCAGAACTGACTCGACGGCACTTAACAACAACAACTCTTTCTATTATTGACATTGTGCTGCTGTTGTCTTAAGTTATCAAAAAATAAAATAAAAAGGTCATAACCTCTGATGTCAGGCTGATAAAGAGACTAATGCCTCACATGTTTTTATATGATATCACCGATGACGACTTTTGATTCTGAGAAACGTTTCTCTGCCTCTGTTTCTCCTATCAAAGTAAATCACCAGCAAGGGTACTACAAGGATATATTGTTGCTGTTTGTCACTGAGTCAATTCTGACTCAGCAACCCCATGTGACAATAGAACTGCCTCAGAGGGTTTTCTTGGCTTACAGAAAAGGGGCTCTGGTAGTGTACTGGTTATAAATTGGGCTGCGAACCTCAAGGTCAGCAGTTTGAAACTACTAGCTGTAATGCGGGAGAAAGATGAGGCTTTCTGCTCCTGTAAAGATTTACACCCTCGGAAACCCTGTACAGGTTGGCTATGAGACGGAACCAACTCCACAGCACATAACAATAACAACAACAAATCTTTACAGAAGCAGATTGTCAGATCTTTTCTTCCACAGAGTTGCAGGGTAGATTTGAACTGACAGCCTTTCATTTACAAGTCAGATGCATAACCTCTGTACCACCAGGGATCCTTACAAGGATCCATTCAGATACAGGACTACAGAGTTATGAGACTGTTGGTTCCCCATTGCCTTCTAATTTACATCATCTGTCCCACATTATACCCCAAACACATACTAACTGAACTAATCATACATCTTAAATATAGTAGAAAGGGTAGACTGACATTTCTGGAAGCACTAAAATACTCTTAGGAGGAAGAAAATGAAATAACCCATCTTTCTCTTATTACTTAGAGTTTAGTCACCGGCTCAGAAATAGAATACAGGCTATCAAATTACAGAACTGCAGTTTTTTGAGAGGTGTTAATAACAGTTAAGACAGAGTCCTACTTTCAAAACACTATCTTATTTGATACTACGTAAACAGATAAAGTCATATGGCAAGTACATTGTGTTTCATGTTGTCCTAATTAATTATAAAAGTAAGTAAACAGAATAATGGAGGTGTTCTTTGTTTCCACCAGGTTTTTGCAAGAGAAGGTGCCAAAGTCATAGCCACAGATATCAATGAATCTAAACTTCAGGAACTAGAGACGTACCCGGGTAAGCAACTCAGCAGTTTGGACTTGGGATTCGGAATCTGAAAGATATTATAAAAGTAATAGTACTCACATGTTGAGAGAAAATTCCTTCGCTGTTCACCTCTTTTTATAGTCTGACTCCGATGTCAATTCTATATTCTTTGAGAGATGCTACACATAGTCTGACTCCGATGTCAATTCTATATTCTTTGAGA